GCGATAACAACTTTTTTAGCACAAGGGACTTTTACAAGGGTCAATCTTAGATTACAAAAATAAAATCTCTGAAATAGTTTTCAAAGTACATATTTAAGAGTCAAATAAAGTTTTTTATATTTTTAGACAAACAAAGATTTAAAAAGAGCTGAGTTTCTCATTTTTGAAATGACCTTGACCTTTGCATTATTTCCAAGGTCAAAATTCAATAAATCATATGCAGTATATCCCATATCTCTACGACTTAGTGTTTTGAATTTAAAAAAAAAAATTTGAAATATTGATATGATATCTTTAAGGGTAATAACTCATTAAGGGTCAACAAATACTTTTGCAATGAAACAATGAAGTGAGTTCTCCGTTAGTCATTGACATTGATGAAGTTTGGTACCTCCACGGTTTACGAATTTAGAGGAGTAGCGAAAACAAGGGGTTTTTTGCAAGGGACAAGAACTTCGAACGTGGTCATTGTTCATAGTAAAGGTATCAAATCTTTCCATAAGTTTCAGTGATCTTTACTAAGAACAAAAAATCTTTTTGATAAACCTCGAAACAAAAAATCAGCAGAAGAAAAATGATAAAAAACAAACAATTTCAATAAGTCCTTCCACAAAAGACGGAAAGACCTAATACTAGTAATAAACATAAGTATTTCACGAGGTCTTTTCACAGTTAGGTGGAAACGCCTAAAAATCAAAGTACTGAAAGTACTGTTAGACGGAGGCTTCATGTATGAGAGAACACAAAAGAAATATATATATATATATCATACATAGCTGTAAAGAATATTTTGAGAAATACTAGTAATGTGTAGTTTTTTTTCAATTCAACATTTTTTTCAAAGGATACTCCAATATTTATGAGGTTTTTGGGATATTATAATTTCATCTTTGTGATGTAAACTTCGCCATGATTAAAGTTCACTGTTTTTAAATGAGATACTTTCAATATTAAACCTTTCAACGTAAGAAACAGTAATTGACTAGGCCTGGTTGACATAAAACTAAGACGGGCTAACTTTTTATCCCAGTCTCACTTAAGGAATATATAGTGGAAAAAGTGAGACTGAGATCAAAAGTGAGCTTGTCTAATATAAGTTGTATGCCCCCAGGCCCGGTTTGATGAATGTAGGTCTAGTATGTTCTAGTCATGAGCCCACTGGCGGAATTAAAAGAGGCCCCTGTCCCCCTCCCTTTTGAGTCCAAAAAATACGCAATATTTGATAAATGAGTGTTTTAATTGTGGCTGTGGGCCCCTTCTTTGACCTCAAACTGATCCCTCTTTTTCAGAATTTCTGATTCAGCACTAGGCCTCAGCCAGTCAGGAGTTTCCATATTTGAAGATATCTTATTTATAGGTCACATAGACCTACTGTTAGCACAATTATGACATGTAACAGCTACCAAAATCAAAATTTCTCGGCCTTATTGTATTTATGTTATGATATGAGCTAACGTGAAAAAAGAAGCAGCCAGGTAATTGGACATGAACAAAATAATATAGTACAGTTTGTCTTAAAGGTACTTGGACACAGATTTGAATTAATTTTTTTCTTTATAATATTACGACTTATATATTTTAATAGCATTTCACACAAAAATTAATTAAAAATCTTATGTCGTTTAAAAGATATTGAAATTTCAAATTTTTCGGCGGGTTTGACTGACATATCCTTGCACTCTCACAAATTTAATTTTCTTCTTAGTCCTTAGGAAAAGTGGCAATCTCGTTTTGTATAAATGAAAAATATTAATACTATTAGCCAGAAAATTCAGAGTAGACACGTTCGAAAGCATAACAAACACACAATATATTGTCAGTCCGTGCAGTTGTGGTAAGCAGACTGTGACGATTGAACGCACCCGGTGAATTCTAAATATAAAAAATAACAATTCAATCCCTGTTTACAAAAACTGTGTACATAACACGAGTGTGCTCGATTTGCTAAACTCTGTACGCATATCTTAGTTCGGATTGACGATACTTGTGAAGGGTTTTGCTTTCTAACATTTCTACTCTGAATAAAATTATTTTTCTTGATAAAATTTTAATATTTTTCATTAAAACACATCAAAATTGCCACTTTTCCTAAGGATTAAGAATAAAGTAAAAATTTGTGAAAGAGCAAGGATGTGTCAATCAAACCCGCCAAAAAATTTAAAGTTTTAATAACTTTTAAATGAAATACCGGTAAGATTTTTAATTAATTTTTGTGTGAAATGCAATTAAAATATACCGGTATACTTCGTGATATTATACAGAAAAAATGAGAAAATATTAACTTCAAATCTGTGTCCAAGTACCTTTAATCCTTTGTGATACAAAATGGAGTGACCTAGCTTGATGCAACACAGAATTTTCTTTAAATAATATAAAGTCATTAACATGCAATAAATGTTCGGGCAAGAACACAATTTTTTGAGTGGAATAAAATATACTTTCTTACTTAAAGTAAACAGAACAATAAAGTTCATAATACTTGCTATTTCACAAGTTTAAATTGTTTTTTGAGAACTGGGGTATTGCTTACAATAACAAAGATATATCTTGACGAATTTGACAACCAATATTTCTGGAATTATTAAATGTAGTATTTTATCATATGACAGATTTAACCCAAATGTCTTTCTTTACTCGTATACCAGTGGAAATGGTTGTCCTTTTCAGTTTATCTGTTTAAAACAATCATTAACAATGAGACATGATTACAAATTACGTAGAGAAAAGTAATAAATATATAACTATGGTTTCTGCTTTTCAGTAACTCTGTTCAAACAATCACTCCTCCAATGATGTAGGTTAAAAAAAGTTGACATGAATACCAATGATCAGAAATACATGTAATCTTGTATATAAAAAATAATTAAAGTTTGAGATGTGAAAGAGGTTAAACACAAGTATCAAATGCAAATAAGGATCAACGATATGACAATAAGACAACTTATTTCAGAAGATATAATTTTTAATTATTTTAAATTAGGATTTAATGTGATAAATCATGTAAATCCTATGAACCAATATTTGGGTTGTACCAAAGGGTCAAAAGTTACAAATGCATTTTGATCTCAATATCAGAGTTGCCGTTTGTTTCTCTCTTATCTAATGTGAGGGTACCCCAAACACTCAAACCGCTTGTAGAAAGTGTAAATCTATTTTCATGTGTTTCCTAAAACTGCGTCTCCACACTAAGTTTGACACAGGCGAATTCTGGTGGAAGTTTTTACAATTAAATATAAAAACTAAAGTTTAAACTTATCTATATCTAGAGATAGTTTTTACTTTAATAAAAGAAGCAATTGATAAGTGGGGTTCCTCGATCACTCTCCACGGATGTTAACCCCCCCCCCCCAAAAAAAACTCCCTGTAGATCCGCCACTTCATTTCCTCTCGTTCTTGTTTTGGTGTGAGAATCGGTGGGAAAAGGCTCGGCATATTGTAAAACGCGCTTTATCATTGCCTGTTGGAACAAAATCTCCCAATATTCTGTCTGATAAAAGATTAACAGTAAATCAAATTCTTTTTTAAATATTCCGTAGGAAATGTATTTATATACACGTCATTTTAAAAATATAAGACAAATCCCGTTTATTTAGAAAAAGTAGAACTGTTTGTTTATACTTGTATGTGACGCGATCTTTGTTTTAGACTATGCCTATCCTTGCGGTCGGTTTTACTCAGAGTCGCTCTAAAAATAGAATTCTCAAGGTAATAAAATAACTTCCACCGATAGATGGTGCTTGGGAAATCTTTCCTGTTTACATTCCATGGGCAAGACAATCCCTGTAACCGGAGGCTGTCATACAGCCTCCGTCTAAAAACAGTGGAAAAGAAACCAACGAATAACAAGAATCATATTCTGTGTATTTTTAATCGGAATACACAGACCATGTAGGAGACATATAAATGTAATTATGCCCGCACTTTCTAAAGAAAGTTCGGAAATATTGTTGTTACTCATGTCAGTCCGTCCGTCTGTCACACTTTTCTTCCCTGAACTCCTCCTACATTATACACAGTAGCCTAATCATCTTTTGGGAGATGCTTGGTGGTGTCATGTAGATGTGCAGTAAGGTTTTGGAATTTTGATTTAGCCGCGGTGGTCAAATGGGGGTCGAAAAATAATATTTTTTTATGCGAAAAGGCCCGTCTTTCCTTAACCCCTCCTGCATTTTAAACAGTAGTCTAATCATCTTTTGGGAGGTAGTTTGTGGTTTCATATAAATGTGCAGTAAGTTTTCGGAATTTTGATTTGCCCGGGGGGGGGGGGTCGAATAGAGGTCGAAAAATGATGTTTTTATGCAGAAAGTTATCAGTAGGGGTGTAATAGGAAAAGGAAAAAGAAGTTAACATACCCCAAGCTCTTGCCTTATTAGTTTTCAATTCATATTTCTACATCTTATATTCTGTCCTATCTTTTAAAACACAGAGCAAAAAAAAAAAAAAGATTGTTATCGGTCTGCTACTTTCATTTGAGAGTGTCGTCATTAATGGCAACATGGTGAAGGACGTACTCTTCTGAAGTTCACTTGTATTTACGATATTTGTTGACTTAAACAATATTTGGTATTCAAATTAAGCTATAAAAACTTTATCGATGCTCATCTCTGTTAAGTTTCATTTCCAAATTGCGATATATTGCATTCATTAGCAGTTCAAAAATAACTTAACGGATTGTATAGTTACAAAGAACATGAAGAAAATAACTTTAAAAAAAATCGTAAAATTTCATGAGTTTACACATTTTTTAAAAGAGCGCTTAATTCTATATTAAATCAAAAATCCTTTTTTACCGTCAGTTTTAAAAATCAAATTACCTAGAATATTTTATGGAGGAACTAATATCATTTATATTCATTATCTAAACAGAGCATATGGAAACCATTTTCTAAAGAAAAAAAGAATAAAATATAATGACTTGGTAACAGATATGTGAGTTAAACTATATATCTTTCGAATACTTTGCTTCATATATAAATGAATTTTTCTTCATTTTGTTCCAGTATGGCGTTAAGCAAAGCTTTATTTTCAAGTGACAGAACAAGATTTGTACGACTTGCATTAGTAATAGTTGAAGAACTGACGCCAGTTTTACGAGATGTGATTGAAAATGAAATCTCTTCCAACGTTATATACAATCTGGTAAAATCGAATAAAACATTACTTAAGAAACTTCGAAACGATCAGCTTTTAATCATCCAAAATGCCTCCAATGATGGATACAGGGACTTTGACATTAATCTACTTTATACATTAATACGCAACCTTTGCCCAAGTATCCCACCCCCCACACAAGGATGGGGGATCTCAGAATTACCAACGCAAGGAGAAACAAGCGTTGGAGATGACATAGAACGTATTCGCTTAATAAAAAACAATCTATACAGCCATGCCTCTTCAACATGTATTTCCGAAACAGAGTTCACTGATTGTTTGACAGTCATTAGTAATGTGTGTCAAAGAATGGGGAGCCTCCTACATAAAAATTACGTTCAGAGTCTCCAAAAATCTCAGCATCGACCACTTGATGAGGAATTAGAGAAGAAGTGGATGGAAAAAATAAAAGAATCATGTGAAAGAGAAAAGGATATATTGGAAGTAATTGCAACAATGGCGGGCTCAGTAGAAAGATTAGAAAAAGGTAGTGATTTTGTTATCATCGTCAATAGAAACGCAACACCCTAATCTTAGGGATGAAAATTACATACGGGATATAACTATGTACCGAAAAAGTTAGGACATCTTTTACTTTGCCAAATCAGTTATTTAACGGTTGAATGATTTTCATTCCATTACCGGAAGTTGATCTTTAGCTCCCTGAAGAGAAATCAAAAATTAGCATTTTTAAGTTTCTAAGGTCTAGAGATAACATATAAAGTTTAAATGAAATATCATTGTTTTGTAAATTTACTTTTTACATTTTTGTATTCATTCTTATCTTATCTTTAAACCTTATAAAGTAACACATAACTCTAAAACATCCCCCCTTCCGACCATTCAATTAAAACGTGCTAGTCCGCCAGGTACAACATAAGCAGCCCGAATTCTACCATACATTAACTTTATCAATGTCTTCATCTGGGCGAAATAAATATTCTTGTCCTTTTTTAAATGCCTGTTTTTCCGATACTAAGGTCGAATTTTCTCTAACTTGGCATAGTGTAGTAACACTTGGACTTCCGGTCAAGGAACTGTCATTCATGCTTTTGAAACACATGTTCCCGAAAAGTCGTTATGTAGTGTATATTTGCATCTGTAGCTCTCCCTTTTCTTTATTTTGAAAATTTCCAACTTAAGCAATGGAAATGCGTTCTTTCAGTTACTTTGAGGAAATAAAGGCATCACATCCGGAAGAGAAAGAAGGATATTTTTTCCGGATTTTAGTACAAGACTTATAATTAACAGGTACAAAACCTTGAAAACACAACATATTGTCAATAATTTTATTAAAAATGCTAATTTTTGATTTCAGTTCAGGGAGCTAAAAATCAACTTCCGGTAATGGAATGAAAATCATTCAACCGTTAAATAACTGATTTGGCAAAGTAAAAGATGTCCTGACTTTTTGGGTACATGGTTATATCCTGTATATAATTTTCATCCCTAAAATTAGGGTGTTGCGTTTTATTGACGGTGAGTATATCTATTAATACTGGCATTTTACACTACACTAGCCGATGATCTTTTGTTTAGCATGCAAGGTAAAACGTTCATCACCATCAAAACATCTTAGATATTTTGGGAAACATTTGCCAAATAAAAACTTTGAAATATAACCAAAAAAAAAAAAAAATCAAGTATAAGAATAGATTTCAAATACTGTAATATACAGCGATTATTTACTTAAACTTCAAAGTTTCAAATCTTTACTTTTATTTGATTCTTAAATTAATTTTTTATTAAAGGATTGTTTTCTGCCACTGCAACAGTAGATGCTACATTGACAGACCCAGCAAAGAATGAAGTAGCCGTGCTTTTTCTAAACACAACAAGTGACCTTCTGAATCATATCGTAGACTGTATCGACGAGCATATCACAGAATATGAGCTTAGAGAACTTTATGACACAATAGAGGAGTTTCTCAAGGACGAATCAAAAGAAATAACACTATCTTTACTCAAACCATTCCTCGAAAAACTGTCATCAAAAATAAAAACCTATGCCAACACACATTTACGAAAGTTTAATATTTTGCTCAAATTTACAAAATTCATACTTGATTTAAATAGAAAGTACGGTGCTGAAATAGGAAGCAGGATTGGCAGTCTACTATTAAAGCTGACATTTCGCTCAGAAAAAGGACTTGAAATTTATAACAAGGACTTAGAGGGAGGAGATATTGGAAAAATGATCCTTGATTTACTTCTATATCCTCCATACCTTGCGTGTTTTGATTTGCAGACCGAAAATTTGATTATATTACTTAATAATCAAATAATCTATCATAATACTGGTAAGTAACTTTCACTATATAATATCCTAAGCTAGATACGTATGCGTAGAAACATGACTGTAAATGTGGTTTTTTTTTATTTTCCATAGATAAAGAACAGTTTGGTGGCCGTCTTACAAACAAAGCGGACGGGTAAATATGTGAATTAAATACTTATGTTAAGTTTAAAAATCTTATTAGTTTAGACGCATATAACAATCCATAATGTCCACCTCAGCGTCAGAAACACATTTGACAACGAGTACCATTGCAAAAATGTACAAATCATGTGCCCATAGGGTTAACCTAGAATTCTCAAAACGTTACTTGTGCTTTTAAATAAAGTAAAATAAATGATTTGGCTTCAAAGAAGCTTGCATCCGATGTAGCTTACTTGAAAACAACATAGGACAGACTAAATATGCTTGCGATTGCAGAAACACTAGATGATAAAGGACTTGTTGAGTATCAAACAAACAATAAAGAGGTCAGTAAATCTTTTTGAAGCTTTCTTATTAAGAAAAGTAGAAGAGGTTAGTTTGAAAGATTTCTAAACGTGAACTTAAGTAAGGCTTATATATGTCCCTCTTCAAGTGAAGATAATTATGAAATACGAAACATAATGGTATCGATGAAAAATCTTCTGAAGAACCAATAGGTCAGGAAAGATGAAACTTATGATGAATCATTGTCAGGTAGTGTTGATTAAAGTTTGTTTAAATTATGACCCCCTTGGGGTAAGGTGGGTACCTCAAAGAACGATCAATGTTTTACATAGGAATATACGGGAAAATCTTTTAAAAATTTCAAAGGATGATGTGACATAACTGCATTCTGGTGCCTCTTTTTCTACAACGAATTATATATGATCTATTACAATGTTGGTAGTTTTTAAACATGAGTGAACCAATACGACGCCTTTTAAATAGTTTCAATAGTTCAGACACATTTTAATAATAATAAATTGTAATTAATCATAAGGAATACTGCATTATCTTTGATTTTTATACCCCATCACAGCTAAATTGGCTAGGTTTGTGAGAATACGTCCTTTCATTGCAAGAGAGTATGCCGGTCTTAGAACAATAGAGGGCTATGCGTCCGAGAATACCTTATTTGGCTTCTGTTATTATTTCGCACATAGTCATTGTCCAATTTGGTGACAGAACAACAAAACAAGCTGGTTTTCTACGTTTACATTTTATCACAGACACGTGGTTAAGGTCAATTACATGTTATCCTTTACATTTCAAACTTTTATAATGGTTGGTCAAGGCTGTTTAACATAATAACGCGCATGGATTTACAGTATTTACGGTTTTTAGGACAAAAATGCACATGAAAAATTCCACTCTCTACCATCGGCTCATACATTCATGTCTGAGAAAGGAACGAAGGACAACTCTGCATTGGAGATTGGAAAAATTCACTGATACTCTAGAATATGTTTAAACCTAGCGAATTGCTCACCAAACACCCTACAAAACTTTAAACCAAATGTTTATTTATCAATTGTTTGTAACTGTATATAAATTTAACTGGTGGTACTCACTCGTAACAAATTTCATTTAGCTAATTGTTGAGTTAGAAATTATCGCCAGTACCTCGATTAATATATGAATTTATTCTTACGTCAGAAAATCTAGTTCCGTCGATCTGTTCATAATGGGAAAAGCCAGTTAGATTTTACAATTTAAAAAAAAAAACGCTGTTAGGTGCAATTTTCTCCTTTCACATATAGGTAGATTTCAAAACAATACAGTGACCAGCCAAAGGAGAAAATTGTACTCACCTGCGCTCGTATATTTAAAGGGCTTCAAAGAGTGGAAAATGCAAAGTGAATTGGATGTAAACATGATACCCCTACCCCAATAAAAGATCTATATCTTTCAAATCACGTTTCTACTTTTGTTAAAAATAGTATTCTATAAAGGTACACATATCAATGATTAGTTACATACAAAAAATGAGTAAAATTTAGACATTTAATTTTTTGTCCAATTACCGAGGGCTGCAAGTCACCTCATCATTTTGCTATGCAATGTAGATATGAATTGTGTGCTTTCATATTATGATAGTATTTTTTTTTTTTGAAAATCATCAATAGTGAAAATGAACAGAAGGTGAAAAACGAACATTTCTAAATATCATTGTAGGTCAACCGCGTAAACTAGGCTGACCTATTGTTATCCTTTTTTGCCTTGTCCTGCGTTGTGTGTCGTGAGTTAACATTTGAACATTTTCAGCTTCTTTTCTGCAACCACTCAACCGATTTCAATCAATTTTGGCATAAAGTATTTATAGGTAAAGATGAACACAAACATGATCCCTGTCCCCCGGGGGCCTGTGGGGTAGGGTCAAAACAATTTAAATTAAAATAATGTTTTAAAAATCTTCTTTACTCCTGTACATCAAGCAGTTAATCTGTCTGCATGATTGTAATCAGCATTTATTCCTCTAAGAAAATCCATGCCCCCGGGGTCAGGTGCTGTAGTGCTAGGGCGGGGCTATATAGATATTATAGTGAAACTGCATTGTTTCTTTGAAATAAGTTCTTCTCTGCTCATGGGTATTAAATAAACTGATCAATTGCATAGTTATGGTGAAAAGGGTTTTTTTTTAATTTGTGAATTTTAGGGCCTTGCATTAGGGTTTCTGGTGTAAAGGGGGACTTTATTAATTACTAGTATATAGTGAAAATGCAGAAAAAAGAAATCTTTTCCTCTGCTCCTGGGCATTAAATAAACTAACCAAGTACATAGTTATGATGTGGAAGAATGTCTCTCTTCCAAAATTTTGAATTTTATGGTCCCTGGATCGGGGGTTTTGGAGTTAGGGCAGGGTCCGATTGCTCGTATAGTGAAAAAGCATTAATTCTTTAATTAAAAATCATTGATGCTGTTTTTGTTATTAGATGATCTAGTGAGATATTGTTGAACAAACAGTAAGGGACTAAGGTGTTATATGTCAGTTTTTCATCATTATCTACCATATTACGACTGTAATTTACTTACTTATTTCAGCAGTATCGGGCGCCTGCCTTCTTTCTCATGAAGAAAATATTCATGAGACATAAACATTGACTGTTTTGTTATATTTCATTGAAGCCTTTAATAAATGAAATATTTGAAACGAGAAATTGAACTTGGTTATGATTTACAAAGATCTGAAGTACAAAATTAAGGGTGTTTAAATACATGCGACGGGCGGAGGATGCCCCCCTTTTTATATGTGGACGGATGTCATGAGTAGTCCTGACAAAATTTAGTTAATTGAATTTACACGGGATAGAAACACTGTAAGCTGATTGGCATGTGACAGGGTGCTGAGAAGCTTACAACACTTATCAAGTACATAGTTACATGTATGTTAAAAAATTCTTCCTATTCCTAATTTGTGAATTTCTTGTCCCTTGTGTCAGGGGTTATGGTGTTAGGGTAGGGCTCTATTAATTTATACTGAAATGCAATTTTTTGAAAATCTTCTCTGCTTTTGGGCATTAAACGAACTAACCAAGTACAAAGGTATGTTGCATTAGGCAGTCTCTTCCAAATTTGTAAAATTCATGGACCCTGGGTCAGTGGTACTGATGTTAGAGTGGGGCTCTATTGATTACATGTATATAGTGAAAATACAGTAATTCTTTTAAAATGTTTTTCTTTGCTCCAGGGAAATATGCCAATGATCAAAGTATATATTAATTAGGATGAAAGGTGCCTCTTCCATTATGATTAATTTTAGAGCCCCTGGGTCAGGGTACTTGGGAGGGGGTTACATAGTTTGAAAATAAATGAATGCTTTGAAATTTGCTCTTTGGTATTAATTAACCATTTATGATGAAATGTAATGTACGATAAAATTTCCACAATTTTGAAATATGTGTCCCATGGGCAGTGGTTCCTGTGGGATGGCGTGCATAAATGATTATAAAGAGAAAATGCATTTTCTCTTTGTTGCTCTGATCTACCTCTGGCTATTAATTAACCAAAGTAAGCAAGCGAAGTGTATAGTTAGGATAGGCAATGAAGCCTCTTTTAAAATTATGAATTTCATGGCCTTTGGTTTATATCACGAACCAATTCAATTGATGGAATGTTACATGATACTCAGGTAACCTATAAGGCCCGTGGGCCTCGTGTTAATGTTCCATATAGCCCATGAAAAGCAACCACGTCTTGGCGGCAAAAAACTCCATGAGATTTTTTACTCTCAAGTGACAAAAAAATCAAACTCATGCAGTCCTTTTATAAAAATAAATTTTGGTCAAAATTAATAAAAATATCTCCCAAACTTAAAATTGAAACTGCATATTTCGTAGCCAGATAGTAGAATTCAGATAGTAGAATGTTATTAATCTATAAAAATTTCTTAAATATAATGAACGAGGTATTAAAACAAAAATGTTCATTGATGTATTTTTGAAATTTTCTTAGTTGTAAAGTATAAACAGAATTATCTGCTCAATTCTTTGTAAATGTAGCTTATTTTGAAATAAGCTCTAAATGTTGCCAAATGGTAGATTTTCATGAAACATTGCATATACATACATTGAAGACAGTTTAAGGCTATGCTATGTACATGTATAATAATTGAAAAGTGCTTTTTTAAATTTTATTTTTCTTTAAATATAATCTTAACCAGCTTTTTTTAATTGATAAAACATAAAATTAAGAAAATCTTATATTTAATGTTTCTTTTTTTTTAATTTGTAGTGTTTATCCTTTAGAGATGAAAGGTAAGAAACTATTCATTTGAAATCAGTCACAAGCCAGACTTCATCAGCGATAATGAAGATTATCTCAAAAAAGTGATTCTGTTAAAAGTCTAAATAAAGAATCCAAGTTGAGAACAGAGCAAACACTAACCTAACCACTTTCACGGGTAAGATAATATGTAATGGAGTAGTAACCCATATGTTTTCTACTCTGTCTTAACTGCAGTGATCTTTTTATCATGATTGGGATAAAAGAAAATCCCTACTCTAAAGTTATTTAAATAATATCTTTCAACGTTAAGATTCGGCATAACATCAATTTGTATTATTAAACAATCATTGTTTTTTGCATCAAATATGGGTTATAGGTATACTTTTTTTCTCAGTTTCAACTACTTTTAGTACCAAATTTAATACTACATTTTCGGTATATCACTAAAAGTCTAAGGTGGG